TTGCAATATTTCATTTATTTAATCAATCCAAAACGGTCCACCCTAATGCTTAATAATATATGTACATATGTACGCATACATGTACACATCGGCGTAGCCAAAATTAAATTTAGGGCGGGGGGCTCGACCCTATTATAAGGAAAATTTGAAAGTTAGGGGGGGCTCGAGCACCCCCCTGCCCCTACCTGGCTACGCCCATGCATGTACACATGTATTTATTAGAAACTGTCATACATTTTTCCTGCCAAATTAACTATATTTTAACTTCCCCTCCAAACAGTTTTACTGCTTTGAGGTTGAACTCAATTCTATTGAAAAGAGCGCGGGTACTTATTTTCCCGTATTCAACCAGGAACGGCCGTCAGCCACCACACATCGTCCGTACCCGCTCTACATTTGTACATATCCATAAAAAAATAATAATAAATCAAACATATTTGACAAGGGACTAATTTTTCGTTGGTTTATTTATTTTATCTCTTTATATTGAAAATACATTGGTGCAACATACTAAGCTTTCTAGCTAAAATTTTCAAAAAGGTGGCAACTCTTCTCCAAAATATTTCCTACAGGCATATATCTTAAACTTCCTTAATTTAATACCTATATTTTAATAAGTCATTTATTTTATCAATTATGCAAATTTAGTTAAATTTTCAAACAGGTGGCAACCCTCCTCAAATATATTTTCGGCCGTAAACCTTAATATTGAAGTACTTCATTTATTTATTTATGTAATATAAATGACCCTGCTATGATACCGAACAATACAAAAAAAAAATATTATTCAAATGAGTTCAGCGGTTCTCGAGTTCCGATGACCGTTACAAAGGAACGCAACATTTTTATATATATAAATATAGATTTATAAATCAAGATTTTTAAATGCCTTTAGTTTGGTACCGATATTGTAACATTTCATTTATTTTACCAATTTAATTAAGATAAATTTTCAAACAGGTGCAACTTTCTTCCGCAGGACTTTTAAAAACTCTTTAGTTCGCTACCCACATTGCAATATTTCATTTGTTTAATCAATATAACTGAGTTAAAATTTTCTAATAGGTGGCAATCTTTCAATTATATTGAGTTAAATTTTCAAACAGGTGGCAACCCTCCTCAGGCATATTTTCGGCTGTAAGCCTTCTTAAAAATCTAAAGTTTGATACCCAAATTACCGTATTTCATTTATTTTATCAAAATAACTGAGTTTAAATTTTCAAAGATGTGGCAATTTTAATCAAAAATATTTCCAGCAGCTATTTTTCTTAAACCTCTTGAATTTAATATCTATATTGTAATATATCATTTAGTTTATCAATAAAATTCCGCTTAATTTTTAAACAGGTGGCAACCCTCCTTTAAAATATTTTCGACTGTAAGCCTTCTTAAAATTCTTTAGTTTGATACCCACATAGCAATATTTAATTTATTTTATCAATTTAACTGAGTTAAAATTTAAAAATTGGTGGAAACCCTTCCCCAAAATATTTCCAACAGATATCTTTCTTAAACCTCTTCAATTTGATACCCATAATGAAATATTTTATTTATAGAATTAACGACCGTTGAGTAGACAATACGTGTTTTCCATTGTGTCGTGGGGTGCGCGCTTTGATTAATTTCTTAAAGTCTTCTCGGTAAATCTTTAGACTTATTTTATCGGTAAAATGCATTGTCTAATTTGCAAAGAAAAAGTTGATCGCGCCGACAGTAGAAAGATTGCTTGCTCATACTGCAAAAACTACTACCACGGTTCGTGTGCGAAATTAACATTCGAAGACATAGAATACATGAAGGCAAATAGTGCGAGTTATCGGTGTGATTCGTGTGTCTCCAAGCGCAGGAAAACTCTGCATCAAGAACCACTTCCAAGCCCTTCCACAGCTATGGAAGTTCATCAGAAAGTGCAAACCTTGGTTTCCTCTGCTGGCGAGCCACAAAAATATTTACCAAAAACCAGCGAATTACCCAGCTCAGAGACGTATAAGCAAAAGCAAACCATACGACAAACAGCAAACGCATCATCGGAATGAGGTACACAGATAAAGCAGCAAAATAGAAAAATAGCAGCCAGCATCAGGTACAACATAAAAATACAGAAGCAGCAAGAAAATTTAAAAACGTTAGCAAACGAAAGCAACGTGCGCCAACAACCTCACGACCAGCAGATGACTAAAAGCACGAATGAAATTAGCAAAACCATAACTTTTCAACTCTTGTATGAAGAGATTATCAACTTAAAAAAAATAAATTCGGACTTTTTGTTGGGGGTAAATGAGCTGAAGGCGGAGAATAAAACATTAAAGGAGAAAGTGGAAAAACTAGAGTCTAAGCTGAATTGGAGAGAGCAGAAGCATCTACAAAACGCAATTGAAATTACTGGCATACCAAAACTTAGCAATGGCAATGCTGACTCTTGTATGCACAAGATCGTAAATGACGCGTTTGGTGTTTATGTCAATGCTGATAACATAGAAAAATGTTTTGTAAGGAGAGTAAAACCTAAGAACGCAGGTACATCTACTCGCGATATTCTCTGCGTTCATTTCTCTTCCCTGGACTTAAAAAAGAAGATAATGATTGCCAAAAGAAATGCAAAGTTAACAACAGAGCTTTTTAATGACGGTAAACGGAATATTTATATAAATGACTCTCTTACTAAGTACAATAGAGCGTTGATTATGGCGGCAAAGGGGGCAAAAAAGGAAAAAAAGTATAAGTATCTGTGGTTCAGCAACTGCAACATAATGGTGAAAAAGGCTGATGATGATAGGGCTGTCGTTGTAAGAAGTTTTGAAGATCTGTCAAATTTGAAATGATCCTAAATCACCTTATTAATAACGATAGCCTTAGCAATATCAGCCTTATTAATAACCCCACCTTAATTTCCAAAGATGCCTTTTTTGATGTCCATCAAAATATACGCAGTTTAAGGAAAAATTTCGACTTGCTAGTTTGTAACCTTGAAGTTTTTCCAAACATTCCAGATTTTATTTTTTTATCTGAAATATGGATCTACGGTTATGAAAAAGATCAATATAAAATACCGTGTTACAATTTTTATGCAAACACAAACGAATCCTATGCAGCAGGAGGCGTTGGAGTTTTCGTGCGTGATTACAATTAATAAGTGCAGATGTTTTAAAAATATCTTGCAGTGTTAATGGATTGCAAACGAGTTTTTTATGCGTTTATAGATTTCATTCGGAATCCTTTTGCACGTTTTTGGAAGAATTTTCAATTCTGTTGAGGAATGAGGACGCTGAAAATTTGGTTGTTCTTGGTGATTTTAATGTCGACATTATGCATTATTCTGTCTTTTCGGATAATTACCTTGTTGCTATGGCTAATCAAGGACTGTCTTTGTGTTTAAAAGAAGAAAGAAGAAAGTTCTGCCGTAGTTACCCTGCGAAAGGGAAATACTGAAATTGTGGAACCCACAGCTGTCGCGAATGAATTTAACGCTCATTTCACTACATTAAGTGAAAGTGTCCCTCTCTCATGTAAATGTTTATCAGCACCGGAGAGTTATTCTAATAGAAGTAGCTTTCTTTTTGAGCATATATCTGGGTTTGAACTACTAAAAATAATAAATTCCTTAAAAAATTCAAACTCTTCTGGCGATGACGGTATTTCAAATACTGTACTTAAACATATTGGAATTAATGTGGTAGATATTTTGAAACAACTTTTTAATGTTAGCGTTACAACAGGAATTTTCCCGGATGAATTAAAATGTGCAGTAGTGACGTAAATAACTATAGGCCTAAATCCCTGCTGTCATCCATCTCCAAAATTTTTGAAAAGGCAATTAAAGTTAGAGTTTTATCTTATCTTGAGAAATTAAATTTCTTTAGCTCCATGCAGTTTGGATTTCGGACTGGGCTCTCAACTGAGGATGCTCTTTTAAACTTTAGTTCCTTTATTTATAAAGAAATGGACTGTAAGAAAAGTTGTGGTTCTTTATTTGTAGATATTACCAAGGCGTTTGATATGATCGATAGACAGATTCTTGCAGATAAGTTATACTCCTTGGGTTTTCGAGGGTTCTCTCACAGTTGGTTCCAGTCTTATTTATCGAATAGAACGCAAAAAGTCAAAATATCTGGTAGCCTTAGTGGCAATAAGACAATTCACCTAGGTGTCCCACAAGGCTCAGTTCTTGGTCCTATACTGTTTTTAATCTACATAAACTCCATTCTCTCCTTACCTTCGTGGGGAAGGTTACAGCTTTTGCAGATGACTTGGCAATCGCCTATAGCGCTCCAAATAACTTCGAGCTAGTATCTGGGATAAATCATGATGTACACCTATTGAGGAGTTGGTTTGCAGATCATAAACTGATCGTTAGTAGCAAAACAAAGCTTATGTTTTTTAGCTTAACGGTAAAAGAACCACCAAATGCAGACATTATGTTTCATTCTACGGATTGTAGTAAACACTGTCTTCATAGACACAATTGTCCTTTGGACATCTCTAAAGTTACTTTCAACTCGAACCAAAGATGCAGTGCAAATTGTTTTAAAATTGAGGTAGTGGATAACTTTAAATATCTTGGTATTGTGGTTGACAGCCATCTCAGCTGGTCAGAGCACATTCTGTCTCTGAAACAGTATTTTCTTTCAATTGTTCGCTACTTCTATCGTCTTCGGAAATGTAGTTCCAACTCCATGCTACAAATGATCTACTATGCTCTATTTGATTCCAAACTACAATGTGGTATAAGCTGCTGGGGAGGTGCCTCTGCATACAAATTAACACCTATTTTGATCTTGCAGAAGAATGTTATTAGAAAAATATTCAAGGCAAAATCTCGTGAGCATTCCATTGAATTTTTTAGAACGCTTAAAATTCTTCTGATGCGACATTTATACTTTTACAAGGTATTAAAAATATGTTTCGTAAGATCAGGCTACTGACAAAGCCATGCTTCTAATACTTATTACTTGAGACGGAATCTCCAATCTGTTGCTTCTATTCCTGCCATAAAGACAACACATTATCGCAACTTCTACACTTTTGTATCTTGTAAGTTATTTAACAGCCTTCCTCCTAATATACGCGCCATAAGAAACCTACGTGAATTCTTGAAGCAAGTGAAAGCATTTTTACTAAATTTTAATCACCATGAGGTCGAAATTTTGCTTAAACCAGTTATTTAATAAATTTCCGTTTAACCATGAGACATTTCGTTTTTGTTTAGCGACCCTTCCTGGTCATGTCGGTCTTTGCTTAAACTTTTGGCCCCTACTGGTCAATGTGTGAGCCCTTACGGTCAGCTCGGTCACTTTCACGTCCGGGTTTTACTCTCCAATAATCCTTTATGGTTAATTTCAATACCTCAGCAAGACATTGATTTTCATAGAAACAGTTATTTGTTATACTTTTATTATACTTTTCAATAATTTTGTAATTTATTCATGTATATCATTATTTTTTGTCGTGCATATGTACATACATTGCATTTTCCAAATCACACCCCACACATAATTGCAACTACAAATGTATGTATGAAACTAATATTTTACTTATTAATAAAATGCCACCAACCTTTTTCTTAATATTATAAAATATCGAAAATTATCCACTGTACTTATGTATAAGCATACTCAGTATTAAGAAAAATGAATTTAAATAAATAAAATAAATAAAACTAAATAAATTTTATCGATGTACTTTAGTTAAATTTTAAAACAGGTGGCAGCACTCTTCAAACATATTTTCGGCTGTACGCCTTCTTAAAACTCTTTAGTTTGACACCCACATGGCAATAATTCATTTATTTTATCAATTTGTCTGAGTTAAAATTTTCAAATAGATGGCAACCCTCCTCAAAAATATTTCCATCAGTCATCTTTCTTAAACCTCTTTAATTTGATACCCATATTGTAATAATTCATTTATTTTGTCAATATAATTGGGTTTAAAAATTTTCAAATAGGTGGCAACCCTCCAATTTTTTGCGAACAGTACAAAAAAAAATTATTCAAATCGGTTCAGCCGTTCTCGAGTTTGGACGACCGTGACATACGAACACAACATTTTGATTAATATAGATTATGAAAAGCGGCCGTAATTTTAGTCCGATTTCAATAATTTTCAACGTTTTGCTTTTATGTGGCAAAGACAATAAAAATACCGAGTTTGGTACAAATTGGTATAACGGTTACCGATATATATATATGTGATCATAAGTGGGCGGTGCCGCGCACATTTTCCAAAATTTTACCTTAAACGTATTTCTTGGTAAAGTATTGTTGCAAGCATCAATTTTGAATAAATTAGCATTAATATTTACTGATTTATCGAAGATTTTGTATTTCTCTAAATTGTCGTTGTATGGGATGTGGGCGTGGTTATTGTCCGATTTCGTATTTTATACCAAGGCCATTAACTGTGCCAAGTTTGGAATAAATTGGTGCACCGGTTACCAAGATATAGGCATATAATCATAAGTGGGCGTGGCTACGCCCATTTTCTAAAAATTTATAATATTATAATATTTCGTCTAAAACTTATTGTAAATATTAATTTTGAGTGAATAATCTTCAGTAGTTACTAAAATATCGCAGTTTTAGTATTTCTGAAAATTACCGCTATATGGGAGGTAGGCGTGGTTATTGTCCGTCCTACGTCCAAAAGAAGTATATGTACCAAGTTTCGTTAAGATATCTCAATTTTTACTCGAGTTATCGTGTGCACAGACGGACGGACAGACGGACGGACAGACAGTCACCGCTTAATCGATTTCTCTTTTCATTCTGATCATTTATGTATACATTTGTCTATATCTATCTCGATTCGTTTTGCCTGTTACAAACAACCGTTATGTGAACAAAGTTATAATACCCTTGTGCACAAGTGCGCTCGGGTATAAAAA